TATTTTTGTTGTTCCATTGTCTGTGCAAATATAGAGATTGTCTGGTTTGCCGACTCTAAAACACGCAACATATAATTGTCCATGTGAGAAGCAATCCGTGTCTAGATCTAAACCGCACAATTCTAAAGATTGGCCCTGAGCTTTGTTGATGGTGATTGCAATCAAATTGGGAATTGCAATCTCTTAAATTGAAATCGTAGCATGTGTTGCTTTTACGTCCAACAGACGGCGCTGTTTTTCAAAAAAGCATGTTTTTACCTGTCACAGGTGTGACATCTATATAATGGTAGGTATATAAAAACATGCGCGTATTCGAATGCAACGTTGTGTCAAAATTTCAAAGCAATCGGTGAAGAACTTTCGGAGATTTAAGATTTTGAACAAACGAACATTTACATTTTTATTTATATAGATATGCACATTCACAGCCCCAAGCAACCTACCACATATTTATTTACTTATTAGATTTTTTTATCCTGCTTTTATTACTCAATGGAAATCAAATATTACTCAAGTAACTCCATGCAAGAATCATACACAATACTCCTTCCTCCTCCTATTTTCCCCATTACAACAACCCTGTGAATTGGGCTGAGAGAAAAAGGGACTGGCCTGAAGTCACCCAGCTGACTTTCCTGCTTAAGGCAGGACTAGAACTCACAGTCTCCTGGTTTCTTGGCCAACACCTTAACCACTAGAACAAATTGGTTCCAGTTATCCCAAGCATTCCTTTTATGTTTATCCATAGTTACATGAAACAGTCAGAGAGACCATTTATATCCTCAATGAGTGTTTCACAATCTTAGCAATTCTACGATGTGTGGACTTCAACATCCAGAGAACTAGGAGGAAGTTGGTCATGCCCTTGCTGTTTCTCAACCTTGGCAACTTTAATACGTGTGGACTTCAACTCCCAGAATTCCCCAACCAGTATGAGAGAATGGCTGGCCCAGCCAGCTTTCATGCCAATGGCATGAAATAGGTCAACCTATTTTCCAAAGCACCAGAAGGCAGGACAAGAAATAATGGACGGAAACTAATCAAGGAGAGAAGCAATCTAGAACTAAGGAGAAACTTCCTGATAGTGAGAACAATTAACCAGTGAAAAATATTGACTGAAGCATAAGATGAAACTATTTCTAACATGTTCCTTCTTTCAAATGCAGCCAGAATAAAATAGAGGATAGTAATTTATACTTTCTAGCATATGTTTTAGCCCATTTAGTCATAATTAAAATTGCACCTTGACTCCCCTCATGTTTTCATTAATTCTACACCACAAGATTATACTATCTTCAATGCAGCTTATAACATCCTTCTCCCTTTGCTTAGTTCCCCAGACCCAGTATTTATCTATTTTTGTTTACAAGTAACCCTTCGCTTATGACCACAACTGGGATCAGAATTTCCATTGTTAAGTGAGTTGCATCCAATTTCACAACCTTTTTCGCCACAATTGTTAAATGAATCATTGCTGTTGTTGTGAATCACGTGGTTGTTAAGTGAAATCTGGCTTCCCCCATGGACTTTGCTTGCTGGAGGCCACTTGGGAAGGTCGGAAATGGCGATCACATACCCTGGTGTAGGAAGTTAGCACCCACCCGCCCTCCTAGAGAAGGAAATATTTAGCGGATATTTAAAAAGATTATATTTCCCCAAAGGAATACAGTAATGGAGAAAGAAACCGCCCCCATAAACTAGCTCACAGTCTCCCCACCCAAAGCAAAAACCAGCTTTTTAGAAATGCACACTTTCTAATCCATTCAGGAAGGTTGGGGCAGGAAGGCTGGAGCTGAGGTGATTACAAAGACAAAGACTTCTGACTTCTGGTTTGCCGCTGCGGGTGCCGCAGATGCTTGAAAAGCGAGCTCCGTCTTCCACATCCGATTTCCCTTTGCTGGGGGACCCTGGAAAGGGTCGAAAGTCACCCTGTAGGGGCGACGAGCAAGGAGGGACCCCCGCTTCATCGCGGGAGGGCAGCAGCCCTTCCGCTTGATCCGGGGCAGCCCTCCAAACTGACAGAGGAAAGACCGGCCATAGCAATATGGCCCGTCATTAGGCTGCAGACAGCCGGAGTCAAATCTACTATCAAGCACTTCGAAAGCAACGCGGATGAAACTGGGTGAGATCTGATCTTCTCTTTACCCTAAGTACCTTTCTTCCTGTAAAAGCTGCTCGAAATATCTATGCCCCTGTGAGGAGAGAGGGAAGGGAATTTCTATCCCACCCTCTAAGAATAGAGGCGTCTGACTACCCAGGGGAATCAAAGCATTAAAAGAACAATTTTAATCTAATTGGATTTATATGTTCCTGAAACTTGGGGACCAAAACTTTTCCTATTTTTACTGGAGACTCTTGTTTTTATCTACAAAAAAAAAACAAATAAAATTGGAAAAAGGATTAGAAAAATTTTGGACTTAAAAAACCTTAAATGGCATCGGTGACATCTTGTGGTGAAGTTTGGTATTACAATTTGCTATTTCCTAAAAGAGACTTGGTTTGAAGCCCAGACCTTAGATAAGACTTTTCTGACCTTGGCATCACCTGTGAGAGACTTAGCTGTAAGAGAACAGCTGGGCGGCATAACTGGCCTACTTGAACTGTGAATGTAAACCTTTACTGACTTTCAGAATTATATGTGGGAAATTGCTTTCCTATTTCTTTGCTTGAGGAATATTGGTCGCTATATGAGATGTTGAAATACCTTGGTCTATAAAATTTTGCTTGACAAACAACTTTTATTAGAAAGACTATTTATAAACATGTGAAACAAATGGATGAAGACCAGGAAAAGATTCTTTCCATGTTGAAAGCAATACATGAAACCATTTTTTCAGCTTGTGATAAAATAAGACCTAACATAAAAGATCAAGATGCCAGCTTAGATACACAAACCCAAACTTTGACTACAACCAAAGAACCAACAATGCAGAGGATAACAGAAGAAGTGGGACAATCAAATATTAAGACAGAGGACTCAATTGACCAACAAACACACCTGATGGAAAATCCAGAAAAGGAAGTTACAACACTACAAATAGAAATGACTTTCTATATAAATCGGAAGAAATTTGAGAAAGAAGAATAGATTGGATGGAAGACAAATATATCAGAGCAAGCATGGGGAACTGGAATAATAGGGAGACAATTTAATGAATACAATGGGCTAGTCATTCCAAAAAACTGGCAACTAAATGGTCTCCTTTATTTCAAATAACATATATAATAATAGAGGGAGATCTATTTGACGATCTAAAAGCACTGATATGGAAGCCTAGTTGGCAAAGGATGAAAACCAGAATAAGGTTGAAGAAAATTGGGGTTTTGACTTATTAGAGGAGATTTCATATTATTAATTAGAGGGTTAAAGGGAGATGTTGAGATAAGGGGAATTTTGGTTATTAGATGTAAAATACTTGGAAATTGGTTGAAAAGAAGGATTTCATCTGTTTAATATTTAAAAATTATACTTAAAAGAGAAAGTAAATTAATTATTATAAATATTTTGATTTATTGATTTATTGATTAACCCAGGTAATATACATAATGGTTTTGATTTATTAAAGGGGATATTGTATTATTAAGTAGATGATTTAATATGGTGGGAAATAGATAACTTTTAGGAAATAGAACAAGATTACATTCAAATAGATAAAATGTGTATTTTGGATATTATATTTTGTTATGAATTGAGACAATCTTGGTTACCCAAAGTCTGAAAATTATAAATATCAAAGGTTAAATTGGAATGTTGATGAGAAACTAAAAAGTGGATAAAAATTAATACCAGGATATGGATTGTTTATGAAGATTGAATGTAATTAAGAAATGTATAAGCTAAAATTTATTGATGAATGTAATAATGTTTTTTATTGAGTTGATATAACTAGAACTGTACTAGCTTGAATACGAGACAGTATATGTTAAGACAGTGGTTCTCAACCTTTTTAATGCCGCGACCCCAACCGGTCATAAGTCGAGGACTAAACCGGTCATAAGTCGAGGACTAAACCGGTCGTAAGTCGAGGACTAAACCGGTCGTAAGTCGAGGACTACCCAACCGGTCGTAAGTCGAGGACTTTCCCTGCCCAGGAGCACCGTGCATGCGTGGTTCCGCCCCCTGCGCCAGCCGAGGCATAGCTGGCAAGCGGCAGAGACGGAGCAGGCCGACCACCAGCTGGCCCAGCCCAAGGGAGGTAAGGCAACCGCCGGAAAAGGGGGAAAAATGGCGGACAAAAAAAATGGTGGACAAAAAAAATGGTGGACAGCCTTGCTTGGCGACCCCCATGAAATGGTCGATCGACCCCAAATGGGGTCCCGACCCACAGGTTGAGAACCACTGTGTTAAGGGAAAAAGAGAAGAAATATCTGATGTGGTAACCTGAGATTTGCGCTAAAGATTTTGTTATCGAACTATTGATTGACCCAGTCACCATGTTGCTTTTTAAATACCTAAATGTAAAATTGGAAAATTAATAAAATATTGTTAAAAAGAAAGAAAGACAAAGACTCCTAAAATCTACATCCCCCACCCAGAGAAGCAGGACATGACACAATAGGATTAACCCACCACCATTAGAATACCAAAAGGCACACTCAGGCTCAGGTCAAAGTTCATAACACAGGAACAAGAACAATCTCAGACAGGAATAACTCCAAGCTTCAAAAGAGTCTAGCAGATAATATTAAAAATATGTTCCAGGTCTAAATTTTATAATATTTTAAGAAAGAAATTTAGAGATGATTTGGTATGATATAACCTGAGCAGCTGTGGCTGAAGGGTTCATGTTGCTTCTTCACTGGTGAACACTGCAAATGGGCCAGGAGTCCCAGTTTCATTAGCGTGACATTTCTCATACCTTAATTCTTCTTTTCTTTTCCTTTTACTTACTTCCTCTTGATCCTTCATATTATGAAATCCTTTCAGTTAAGGACTTGGCTGAGCGACTGAATAATGCTTCTGCCAAGGGTGTGTCAGCTTGTTAAGCTAATAGATTTGCCTTCTCCAGAATTAGCCCCACACGCCACAGTTGGCACCCAGTTTCAGTAGCAGACGGGTTCCCAGGGCACAAGTCGAAAAGCTGGTCTTGAGGCAAGAACCATGGACTGGAAACTTCACTCGGTTCAATATTGTCTCAGGAACATCTTTTTCCTCTTAATGCTTTGTTTCCATATATGGATTTCAGGTAGGGCTTCTTCTTCTTTTTCTTCCAAAGGTTTTGTTCTTGAGCAATAAAAGTGGCTTATCCTGAAGACCCTGGGCGCCAATTTCCAAGACTATGTAGTTGATGCTCTCCTTTTTTTCCTCTTTGTCTGTGGTGCCTTTGAGTCAGTCTTAACTCCTGGCAACTACATGGATAAGTCTACACAGCTGGAAGTGGTTCACCATTGCCATCTTCTTCCTAGGGCTGAAAGGGAATGAGGGACTCAGAGGTGGTTTCTACGCTTAAGACAGGATAAAAACTCAACATATGCTGGTTTCTAGCCCGGTGACTTTAACCACTATACCAAACCAGCCCTCTCCTTTCATTTGAAAGGGATATAATTAAATATTTCTACTAAAACACAAATGTGATTATGGAGAGGAAAGGAAGCTGAAAACTAAAAAGCAAGTGGCATTCCTGCCACTAAAATTTAATTGTTTAATCTACTCTTCTTATATTGCTTGGCATTAAAAAAAAGACAGATTTTTAAATTCTCCTTAGAGGAAATCTCTGGATTCTGGTCAGACCACAGAATTCTGATGATATATTAGATTACATAGATTTGTTCTGCTCCTGTCACCACAGTAAAATAGCAGTTATTCAGGGACAGGATCAGTTATCAGCCTGAAATCTGAACCTGATAGTTAAATAGTGACGTGTTTTTATTTTTTTTTTATCACTGCTCACATTTATCAGTACAAAAAAAGAAGAGCTTGTACTTCAAAATATTAAATATATTTATTTATAAATTGTATAAATGTACTACTGTACTAATGTATGTATGAAATATACATAGTATATATACCTTGTGAAATATATCTCCAAATATACATATATTCTACTGTGTACGTTCGGTATACTAAGCATTAGTACAGTTTATTTTTTAAAATAAAAATAATTAAATAGATGTTCCAATATTTTCTTCTTGCACTCCAGTGAGTCATCTTGCATAGTCCTGGACTGTTCATTTACCACTTTTGAAGTCCACTAATATACAGATGTTTTTGTAGTTCCTTTTTTAACAAGAACAGACCCAATTTGTATTGGCCAAACCAAATAGGTTTGTTGGAGCGCAATTATTTAATGCATTTAATTAAACAATCATCCTTCGCACTTCCAAAATTATAAATAGATGAACTGGTGTTCAACATTTTCTTCACTAAAATTTGCAATGAAAAATGAGTACATTAGAATGCAGACCCCAGGGAAAATTCATGGCTAGTCTAGAAAAAAGAAGGACTAGGGATGACATGATAGCAGTATTCCAGTATTTGAGGCACTGCCAAAAAGAAGAGGGGGTCACAGCCCCTTCTCCAAAGCACCTGAAGGCAGAACAAGAAGCAATGAATGGAAACTAATCAAGGAGAGAAGCAATCTGGAAATAAGGAGAAACTGCCTAACAGAACAATTAACCAGTGGAACAACTTGCCTCCAGAAGTTGTGTTTGCTACTTGTCTCAAATGGTAAAGAGCAGGCATGTCAAACTGTCGGCCCGTGGACCGGATGCGTCACCCCGAAATCGTGCCCACCCCATTGCTGGCAATGGGGAAAAAGTCCCGATTACATCGCGCAACGTCACGTGACGCCGCGAGTTTGACATGCCTGGTATAGAGTCTCCTGCTTGAGCAGGGGGTTAGACTAGAAGACCTCCAAGGGGTCCCTTCCAGCTCTATTCTGATTGAATTTAATTCATTACCAATTATGCACATAGGGGCACTTATAGAAATATGTACTGATTTTGCGTCTTCGATGGTGCAGAGAAATTTGAATGCAAGCTTTTGAAACAAAATGGTGCATGTTAGAGTTTCAAAAATTTTAATTACTAACAATGTTACCTTTGTAAACATTAGAAGAGCCAATTTTATTGTGGTGAAGTGGTGAGAAGGCAGGTACAGAGTCTGAAAAAGAACAAGGATGCATGTTTCTTTTTATCTTGTTGACATATCTCCCTATGATTAGGGACATCCATGGGTGTGGGGGAATCAAAAATGCCTATTTTCATACATTTACAGATTAAAAGAAGTGGGACTTCCATCAATTGGTCATCAATTTGACTATGTTGTTTAAAAATATAAACTATCGCAGCCTTTTTCTTATTTTCTTCTTGTGATAACACAGAAGCATAAACATCTGACAGTGGTTTGTTAAAAGAAGTGGTTTAATATACAACATATAACAATATTCAGGGAGCATACAGACACAGTCTCTTAAAGAGATACTACCCCCAAATACTCTGCTGACTCATTCTCTATATATCACTTCTGCCGGTCAGCTACTAAATCATAATTACCTTGACAATTTTTATCCCTACCTCACAAATACTCATGCCCCAGAATCTCTCTCTAAGCTAAATAGAAATGTAATACTACTTAGGACCATATGGTTTTTTTCCTTTTCTGCTTGATTTTCATATGCTAATGAATAAAAAATAATAAATGGGAGGTTATCACATTGCCACTCTAAAGATAAGCCCTCTCTTCTTGGGAATTTGCTTAGGGAAAAATTAGAAAAGTTGTTGGGGTGGGAGGGACCTTATCAGTTTGTTTTCTGCTCAGTGAATGTTTCCGGGATGGTCACAACTGCTGTAGCAGCTACTTTATAGTTTGGAAGCTTTTTCGTTGTGATCATAATTCCAGATCTGCCCATCAATTGAGCTGCTACATTTTCCTGTTCCTTAGTGACCTGATGTGTTTTGCCAACATTCAGACCTGTGATTTTGAGGCTTGGCCCAGATGACTTTCAGATTTGGCTTCTTTGTTTAAAACCGTGAAGTTGCATCCCAGGGCATTCGCTGAGTTTGTTTTTTTTTTAAAAAATTAAAGATGGCATCTGCATACAATTTAAGCCTTCCTCCTTTTTGTATGTGCGCACACCAAAGGGGTGGGGCTTTAAGTACACAGTTGTGATTGTCCTCTTCGCTTTCTGAATCCTCCTATGAAATCCCTCTTGTACCCACTTCATATTAAATATATTTCTCACTTCTACCAGCCTTAGAGGCAACATACTAAGTCTGAGGTTAAATTGGCCACGTGATGTGTGTTTCACATACTTTTCCATATAACAAATTGGAGGAAACAGTATAGAAATTAATCATCAGGTGTAATTAGAAACTGGTTTATGTTTGTGATCTGCCAAACTATTCTGGTAGTTAAGCAACAAAAACATCTAACATGTTTGGTGTGTTGGAAACAATAGTTGACAAGGATGCAGAGAAGGATAAAGAGGCAGTTTTGTCAGAAAAAACTGTTCTGTTTCTCGCGTTGGTAGGCGTTGACACGAGGCAGAGTAACAACAGGTCCTTTCTTTATTCAGGCTTAAACAGAACTCTCTACAAAATGGCTCCGCCCCTTTTTATACATTCACCCTGGGGCGTTGTCAGCCAATGAATGCAACATATTTTCCCGCTCAAACGCATGCTCAGTAACTCTGAGACAGCCTGTCTGGCTCAGCAGGCCATGTGGTCTGCCAAGGTCTCAGTGCAGCTCCCTGCACTTGCTCCATCAATCAAGCTCAGGACATAACAAAAACCATATACTTCCTCCTATTATCTTTCAGATAATGGCAGTGAAGGGTATTCTTTACTGACCAGGAATAGATTATTTGCCATTGTGACGGGGTGGGAGAGAAGGAAAAGGCCTGTGTGCTTCAGATTAGTTAGATGGGACTCAGTCACAGGTTTAAAGGTTTCCCCTGTCCAGCCATGACCGACTCATCTCCGATTCTCAGCTGAGGGAGCCTTGTTGTCTGAGAGAGACGCTTCCATCACCATCAGGCCAGCGTGAGAGTACAGAACTCAGAAGCCTCCCCACCGAAGCAATACCTATTTATCTACTCGCATTTACATGATTTCAAACTGCTACCTAGGTTGGCAGGAGGTGGGATGAGTAATGGGAGTGCACCCTGTTGTGCAGCATGGCTTTCCAGCTGAGAACCCCAGGGTCTTAACCTCTGAGCCATTGCACCACCCACTCAATCACAACTCTTCACAATTTGAGCCAGGGTACCCAACAAGTACATTCTTATTGCTGAGAATTCTGGGAGTTGATGTCCACAGCTCTGGGAGTTAAAGTCCACACACTGGGAAGACACCAAGGTTAGGGAGTACTGGTATTGTACATTTATTCTCTATTCTGCCTTTACTATATGCAATATGTATTTCTGTTTACATTTTTATTGGAGAAATTTGGAGAAGTAGCAGAGAATTGAGTAACTGAGCTGACATAATCTCTGCACCCTCTTACAATTTCTTTGCTCCGTTGGAAATCAGTAACTCTACCTTCGTATTTTCATTGTGATTTTTAGTTTATAATCAAATGAGAGTAAAGTAAACGTAGTGTTTTATATTATAATATTAGAATAGAAATGGGTCAATAATGTTGATTATTCAATGCTGTGACTTTATCATAAAAAGTGGAAGATTCCCCAGATGTCTGGTAAAAGCTGGGATCTGTTGAGATGCTTCCAGGCTTATCAAAGCCCTGAAGACTTTTGGATTTAAGGAATTGTAGTGTGGATTGTGCAGCATTGTGCAGTTCTTTGGATTAGAGGGCCAAATAAACAATCCTTCTTTTGCACAACTTGGTTTCTGGTAACTCTGTTCTAGATTTACTTTTCTCTGGGAATGCCCCAGGACCTTCTACAAGCAAACATTGGGCTAGATGGACACTTTATATTGAGATATTGTTACTCTATTAGAAAGCAATTGCCACCCAAAGAGGATTATCACATCACATAATTTTTATACAGAATTCCTTAGAATATTGAAATTGCTTGGTGTACTTTATAGCAATAGTCACAATCTTGAGATACCCATTCATGTTTAGGATGGACCTGGCCTAATGTGTCAAGCAATTAAATTAAGTTGAGTCATGGATTCCAGCTGTGGTACACAATCTAAGATGTCCAACTTTGTCACAAATATACCAATTGCGGAGCAAGTAAAGCAGTATGCCCTAGAGGCTTTTGCCACAAACGATGTGTAGAAACCACAGGGACGTAGAGGCAGGTTAAATATTGAGAAGATTTTCCAGACAGTAAAAGGTGTCAACCAGTGCACCATGTCAATTCCCAAGATAGTGTGTTCAGTAGATATCTTCAAACAGAGACGGGATACTGATTTCTGATATTCCAACCCTGATTTTGACCATTAGGAACAATTCTGTAACTCTGAACAAGAATCTGCCATGTGAATTTATTCCACATCTTGGGTCTTTACAGAACAGCCCACTCCCTTTTGTATAGTATCCCGTTACATTCTTGACAAAGTGCTACCAAGGTCCTGCAAAGTCCTCTGTTCTCAAGGCTTAACCCATCAATCTTTCTTTTGCACAACTTGGTTTTCAGCCCCTGCTCGTCCTTCTTGCCCTTTTCTGGACCCACAACAGACTGAGAATAACAGTTACTTTCAAACTGTGAAAAGCATATACTTGTTTTCAAACTTCTGTAATGCACCACTGAACCCATTGTTCATGACAGGAACTACAAGATACAAAACAGTGATTATATACTATCAGTTCTGGTTTCCATATCTGACATCCACTATTCCTCTTCCAGCTGTTTCTCCCACTTCCAAACCTCCAATGGCAACCGAATGCTTTACGGTCAACTTCATTGCAACTAATTTGATCTATAGGCCACAGATGGATAATCCCAAGTCAAAGCTCTTCAGCTCAGCGCAAGGAGTCTTCGGTAACTTGGTGAGGAGACAAATGCATACTTACCCAAGTAGCTCTTCCACATAAGATTTTCACAAAATAGTCAGCAATAGTGTTTTACTACCAGCAATAAATACATAGCTTTTCCTTTAAACCTAGCTGGGACAGATATTGAACACCAACAACATTGGTCCTGAATTGATCAACTGTAGTATATCAACGTTAAGGTAAGTAATATGGGATGGAGATTTTTTTTGTGCTATCTAAATGCCCTGTTATGGGGATGACTTCTCACAACATTTACAGTACTTGAGACAACCCATAGTTTGTTTCAGCTTTAGTCTGTAACACATCACATTTATATAAAAATCTCTAAAAGACTCATTTCCTCATCTTCATCCCAAAACATTTCTTTCTTCAATATTCATTTCCTACCACTGTGTTGGAGGCTCCATGGTTAGCTTCCTCCATGCCTTCCCAAAATCAGGTTTGAAGTGGAATTTAAAATTTAAAAACACCAGATTAAAAATACTGTCTGAAAACTTCCAAACCTTACCTCTGTGAAATCATCCAAAGTCCTCTACGGCCTCTCTGGATCTGTCTCAAGTTGTGTTTTTCCATTCTCAGATCTGTGAATCAGGGTAGGAACACCGGAGTAGACAGTGTCTGTTGCTACGGTAAAACCGCTACAGCTCCCCCTTTTGATCGAGTGAACATATATCGCAAATTCATAAATGAGACCAACGGTTTCACCAGGATGGAGAGGTACAACCTGTATCCAAACAGCCTTTTTGTTAATGGTAAGAAGCAGAGATTGCTTTCATGGCTAAAGAGGTTATGAGGTTGGCTGGCTTTGAATCGGTTCTGACCAGTGTTACCGGTATCTAACGTAAGTGATAGTTCTTCTCTGTGACACAAAGGAGAAATGCCAGAGGGCTACAAAGCTTTCTTTAGCTTTACCAAACTCGGGCTACAAAAGTTCAGATGACCAGTAGTTTAAACAACGATGTTTATTAAGCCGTCTTGGTCATTTGGAATTTTGCAGTCCAGACATGCTGGTTCTGTTCTTCTCGATGATTTTTTTCTGACACAGTCTCAGGACCTCCTTACAAGAAATCATTGGACTAGGTCAATGGTGGTGAACCACGCGTGCCAGAGGCGGCACTCGGAGCCCTCTCTGTGGGCACACGTGCTGTCGCCCCAGCCCCGCCTCTCCCTGCGGCCCCCTCCTCACCAGCAGCCCCCCTGGAGGAGAGTCGCCCATGGGCACAGCCCGCACGGAGCAGCGCAGCCAAGAACATAGCCGGGCAGCAGGGACAAGACTCTGCCCTCATGCCCCATAGCATGCAGATGATGCTGCGGGGTGTGGGCGGAGGGCATGGCTGCCATGGCACTGCAGGGTTGCCTGGGCGATCTGCTGCGGCGGGCCATGGAGGCGGTGGGTGGCCCTGCGGGTGGGTGGGGCAGGGGTGGGCGGGGGCAGAGCAGGCAGGGCGGGAGGCGGAGCGGGGACGGGGGCGGTTTTGGGGCATTCGGTCTCTAAAAGGTTCGCCATCACTGGACTAGGTGGACACTTTATATAGGTCACAAGGCCTACTTAAACTAAAGACTGCTGCTATTTGGGGACCTTCAGGATAATTCACAACCCTACTATCTGAGATTCGTTGAGATGGAGTAGTTGGAAGTATGTAGGAGAAATTTATCGTAACTTTTTTTTCTCATGGTGGAGAGCTTGAGAGCGACTTCCCATATCATTGTTCTTTTATGCCTTCTTTAGTGACTCTCTTTACATTTTTACAACTCTGTTTTCATTTCAGATTACCATGAAGGATCACAACCGACCAGTAAGTACACCTTTACAGAGGTTTCTTGAGCCATGGAATCCAACTGTGGTACACAATCCTTCTACATAGGATTTTCATAATATAGTCAGCAATAGTGTTTTAGTATTGGCAATAATTACATATTTTTTTTCTTTATGCCTAGCTGGGAAATATATTGAAAAACAGTGACATTGGTCCTGCTTTGATCAACTGCCGTTTATCAACATTAAGGTAAGCAATATGGGTTGGATATTTTTTAGGGATCCGTAAATACAGTGCTTTTTTTCTAAAAAAAAAAAAAAAGGTGCCAGAACTCACACACGTCATACAACCCGCCTTGCCTACCCTACAAGGTTCCATCCAAAAAAGGTGCTGGAACTCCGTTCTGGGCGTTCTATGAGAAAAAAAGCCCTGCGTAAATGCCCTTCTGTGGGGATTAATGGATTCTAATATAGATCTCTCACAATACCTTGTCACATTTGAGAGAATCTATAGTTTATTTCAGTTCCATTTTTCTACATGTCACTATTATCCCCATTCTGATTTCTAAAGAATTCGGTCCCTCACTTTCATCCGAAACAATTTCTTTGCTTCAATGTTTGGTTGAAATGAGCTTGAAAATAAAGAGGGGCATACTAAATAGTCAAACTGGCGGGAAGAAAAAAAAATGATACAAAGCAGTGTCAAGAAAAGAATCAAGGATATATGTTGCTGAAATACAGCAGAGCTGAACTTGAAGTCGTTTCATACTTCAGATTGCCAGGTAAGTTCCAAGATCTGTACACCTGTTGTGAATATATCTTTATTTGGATCTTTTCCTTCTCAGACCTGTAAATCAGAGAAAGTACACTGGAGTAGACAGTGTGTGCTGCTATCGTAAAGCCGCTACAGCCCCGCCTTTTGATCCAATCAATATATATCAGAAATTCGTAAATGAGACCAACCGTTTCACCAAGATGGAGAGGTACAACCTGTATCCAAACAGCCTTTTTGTTAATGGTAAGAAGCATTAGGTTTGCTTTCGTGACTAAAAACCTTTGAGGCTGTCCAGCACTGAGTTACTTCTGACCAACATTATCTAACTTAAATAGTAGTGTGTCTCAGTGACAGCAACAAGAGATGCCAGTGGGCTACAATTTTTTTTCCTATGTCTACCGTATTTGGGTTATAAAAATCTGGATGATCACTAGATGGCAGCAGTGCTTATTTGCACCTCATGGTCATTTGGAATTTTGTAGTCCAGAGCTGGTAACTCTGTTCTAGATTTACTTTTCTATACGAATGCCCCAGGACCTTCTACAAGCACACATTGGGCTAGAGTTAGATGGACACTTTATATTGCGATATTGTTACTCTATTAGAAAGAAAGTAATTGCCACCCAAAGAGGATTATCACATCACATAATTTTTATACAGAATTCCTTAGAATATTGAAATTGCTTGGTGTACTTTATAGAAATAGTCACAATCTTGAGATACCCATTCATGTTTAGGATGGACCTGGCTTAATGTGTCAAGCAATTAAAAATGGCAGCATGATGTGTGAACATTTAAACCTTTCTTAACAAATGATAAATTTTATCAGATGGGAAAAAGAATGGATGAAAGATTGATGTTGCTAAGAGAATGTAGACTTTAGAACTTATGTCAGATGGGCTAGTCTTAGAATGTGGAATAAATATAAATATAGATTCTGCCTGAAAACACCTTTTTGGCTTTAAGTGCAAGAACCATTTTATAGAAGAGAAATGATATGTGGTTCATTTATTGTGATGTACTAAAATTTTTATAAGGGGATTGTAAAATGAAATCAAGAGAAGATTTAAGAACAAAATATTCTTGTCAATGTTTTTCTTATGTACACTTATCAGAAAGTTTTAGTGGATAAAAGATTTTGTGGTTTTGAACAATATGAGACTGAGTTTGAAATATAACTATGTACTAATGATGAACATGTTATTGCTAAGATGTACAAACCTCTGATGAAATATCAGAAGAACACATGAAAGAATGTATGATAAAATGGGCTAAAATTTTTGGCTATAATATACAAATGAATCAATGGGAAAATATGTAGCTAAAAGACTGAAATTTAGATTATGTTGTAATCTCAAAGAGAATTTTTATAAAATGATGTACATTGCTATCTGTCAGCAGAGAAACTGTTTAGAATGTATAAAGGCACTTTGAATGTTTGCTGAAAATGTGAACAACATGAAAGGACATTTTAATCACGTTTTGGTGGACATGTAAAAAAGTAAAAACATCTGGATACAAATTCATACTGTACATTAAGAAGATTGTAAAGGTTAAAACTTCAACCAGAGACTTTTCTTTCGGGACCAATGGACAGGCAACTAGAAAAAAGCCATGGAACTTTGTTTTATATATTGTAGGGTTCTGTAACTGGCACTAGAAAAAGAAACAAATTGTGTAGCCTTGCCTAACTATTGCTATCTCGCTTTTGTAATCAGTGTTTGTGTCAGGGACAAATTTCATGCAAGCTTGGGAAACATGTACACGGATGCGATGTAGTGAAGGAAGGAATAAGGGAGTGTATAGGAATGATTGATGTCTTCCTTGTATGGTAATAACTCTGTTGTCTAATGTTGGTTGGTTGACAAAGTTTATAAAGCAATGCTACTAACTTTCCAAGGTGTGGCACTTCTGAACGTAACTGCCAGCATTCCAGATTGCTTGCCACCCAGCTGTTTTACTTGATCAAATAAAGTACTGTTTCCTCAAGAAGCCTCTGTTTGAGTTGCTTGATTAGATTTTTATGGTATCTCAGATTAAGTAAGGGCCAGTGACCTTACATTTCTGGCGCCCGAACAGGGACATTGAAGGTTGTGTTTCTTCAAGATGGTTTCTCATTGAAACTCCCTGTGAATGAATACTGTTGTGACTCAGCAACCTTCAGGTATGACAATCAGGAAAACCAGCATGGGCTAGCTAGGAGGTTAAGAGCGTTCTCAGACTCTTTGTGTCTGATGACCTCAAACTAATCAGGGCTGTCAGAACCATGATTGTCTGAATCCTGAATGTTTAAGGTGGCTTCCATCTCGTCCCAGTTAGGATAGAAGGAGATGAGAATACAGGAGGAATTTGGTAAGTAGAAACAAACATTCCAGAATGAGGAGGAGGTTGGGGGAGTGAGTGAGTGAGTGTGTGTGCACCTGAAATGCCTGGAATGCAGGGATTTAGTTGCCTGAAATGTGATAAAAATGGATGACTATTAAGGAAATCTCCTGTAGGGATTCCTGCATAAGAGAGGGCATGGCCAGGCCCCGATTCTGAAGGAAAGGAACTGAGAAAATCTCTTGGGAATCGTTCATTTGCACTGAGCAAATGAACCAGTGTTTAGGGAAGAGGAGGAGTCGTGTTTCTACTAAGCTGTGTGTTAGCCCATTGGAATGCACTGAAATTGTGGCAGTAAAAATAATTTTCAAGAAAGCACCGTTGAAAAACTTTATGCACCTCTGTTTGGCTAGCTTATCTTTTTAACAACTTCAGCCATGGAAGAAAAAGAAAAGAAAAATCAAAGACCTGTTTGTAAGGTTTTTTCCTTTAATCTGGCTCTTTGGACGGACAATTTGTTTCTGTTAGACAATGGCACTGTCAACTTTAGAATGAGCATGGCTGTAGCCATTTTTTCCTTCTCATTTCTGGTTGACACATAGCATGGAGAAAGGGGGGGTTGCCAGGTGTTGTGCTAGACAAAACAGACTTTCTCTCTCAGACTTTCTCTCATGGGAACCAAAGTCATTCGCTGCTCCCAAGACTACAGGCTGGGCATTTAATGAAAAGCTCACCAACAAGCTGTATGGGAAAATGTAGTTGCTTGCATAGCCTTAGGGGTGGGATTTCTTAACTTTGTATGGGGGAATTGTTATGCATCGCTTCAGATTTGGTTTCACTTTTGAAGTGCGATACTTTGTATTCAATAAACATGTTCTTTGAGGAATTTGCAAGCGGAGTTTTGCTTTATTTGTCTCTGTCTATCGGAACCATGACAGGGGCCATCTACTGTCCTCGGAAACCATTCCTATTGTCAGACAGGAAGAGATGAGGCTGCTGTCTGCAGTTTTCCTCTCCCTTTCAGGCCAACAAAGTGCCCCAAATTCAACATTCCTTTTTGGTCCTTCCCTAGTGTCCTTTAAATTTGCTGGAGCGGGACCTGCTAGGAAGATTGGGAGCAACCATCAAACATTCCCCTGATGGACTAAATTAAAAAGGGAGGCCTGCTTTGGCCTCAAACCCCAAATTGGTGTGTTTCTTAAATATTTGGCCATCCAGAACAGCTTGGACTTGGAGGGAGGGAGGGAAGGAAAGAAGGAAGGAAGGAAGGAAGAATGAAAGAAAGAATGAAAGGAAAGAGGGAGGGAGGGAAGGAGATTATAATTAGAGGGAGGAAGGGTTTGAGGGAAGTCCTGCCTTAGCACTTGGCCCCGACCAGCCCTGCTGCCCTTTTGCCATCTCCTTGTCCCCTCCTCCTGACTCTACTGGTGGTCTCCCATCCTATCACTGAGGATGCTTTGATTACAAAGCTGGGTCTCCTCGCATGAAGCGGGAGTGGGCCTCCATCTGACCCACACATTTTGCCATACCATACATACCATGAGCAACCTTACCGCCTCGAGGAGGAGGTAAGTGCAGCCAGGTGCCCCCTTGGGGAAGCCTGCACCTCTGTGTCGCCTGAGAGGGATGGCAAGGCTCTTCTCATGGACAAGGGTTTGGTGCTTGCTCTGGTTTCGCCTTCCTCTGCTGGAGACAATGGATCCCCCCACCCCCACCTGGGCCACCACAGGGCCCCCCAACATGAGCGACATCGAGCTGTCCACACACACCCTGGCCACGCCCACACCCATCCCAGCCCCACCCATCCCGGCTAAGCACTAGTGGTACTCGAATATTGTCATGTCCTAAAAGTGGTACAACCTGTGAAAAGGTTGAAAAGCCCTGCTCTAGGTGAGGGATTGTTTTTGCAGCATACTAGGAAACTATTTATCAATGTCACATTAACCTTTATGATGAAGGTGGAATGTTAATCACTCCACTTAGCTGGCTATGGTTGAAAAAAACCTACAAGTAATAAAATAAAAATAAGAACGTATTCCCCAACTCACATTCTCCAAGCACTTTGGGCTTTTAACTTCCAGAATTCCAAACCAGCATGTCTGTAAAGGAGCAAGAGTCCTCTTTCCCTTCCTTACCCACCTTTCCAAGTAAAATAGAGCAGATGTGGCAGGGAAGACATCAAAATAGCACTCCCCAATTTTTACCTTTCTTCAGACTTTTCAAGTATGATACAATTTAGAGCTACTGAAAATAAAGGAGAATTTCATTCCTTACCTCTTTCCTGTACACAGGCTGTTGCTTTCCATTCACTTACCCATTAGCTAGCATCGGATAGCTGGGCCTAATTACAAAAACTTTATCAGGAGCTCCCTCTAAGTTCCCTGGAACTTGGGAGAGAGAGAGAGAGAGAGAGAGAGAGAGAGAGAGAGAGAGGGAGGGAGGGAGGGAGGGAGGGAGAGAGTTTAGTATCATCTGCAAATTTGTTGAGTTCCCTTTTTATTCCCTCAGCTAAGTCATTTCTGAAGATATTGAAGAGTACTGGGCCTAAGACAGGACCTTGTGGTACCCCACTGCTTACTGGTAGATGTACATGTACTGTAGATGGTAGATGTAGTACTATTAAGAAAGAGTACAGAGAAGAGCAACAAAGATGATCAGGGGACTGGAGGCTAAAGAGCTAACTGGAGGGGACTGGAGGCTAAAGCACTAACTACTACTCCTCACTCATCGCGTCATCAGATAATCGCCCGGCCGCCCTCTTCAGGGTGACCCGCTCCCTCCTTCAGTTGAGGGGAGGGGGGGACCCCCTGGAGGGGAGGGCCGAGGATTTTGCTCAATATCTGCATGACAAAGTCGTTCGGATCCGAGAAGGCTTGGACTCCGACTGGTTGGCCCAGGGGGAGGNTGGCTCAGGAATTCTGGGAGTTGAAGTCCACGAGTCATAAAAGAGCCAAGGTTGACTACCCCTGAACTAAAGTCACAAAGCTGAGCTTGTTACTTTATGGCTGACACTTGCTCAGGAAGAGGCAACTTATCTATATCTATCTATCCTATCTATATAAATAAAAATGTAAATGTTCGTTTGTTCCAAATCTTAAATCTCCAAAAGTTCTTCACCTGATTGCTTTGAAATTTTGACACAACGTTGCATTCAAATACGCACGTGTTTTTATATACCCTGCGGCCCTTAAGGAGGCCGTTGTGAGGCCCCTCCTCAAGAAGCCTTCCCTGGACCTAGACGAGTTGGCCAATTATCGCCCGGTCTCCAACCTTCGCTTTGCGGCGAAGGTTGTTGAGAGTGTGGTTGCACGGCAATTCCCTCGGCACCTGGATGAAACAGTCTATCTAGACCCATACCAGTCGGGCTTCAGGCCGGGGCACAGCACGGAAACGGCATTGGTCACGGTTAATGATCTCTGGAGGGCCCGGGACAGAGGTTACTCCTCTGTCCTTGTTCTTTTGGACCTCTCAGCGGCTTTTGATACCGTAGACCACGGTATCATGCTGCGGCGTCTCGGTGAGTTAGGAGTGGGAGGCACCGTTATGCGGTGGTTCTCCTCCTTCCTCACCGACCGTATGCAGTCGGTATTGGCAGGGGGACAGAGGTCGACTCCTAGACCCCTAACTTGTGGGGTGCCTCAGGGGTCGGTCCTCTCTCCCCTTTTGTTCAATATTTATGTAAAGCCGCTGGGGGAGATCATTCGTGGCTTTGGGGTGGATTTCCATCAGTACGCTGATGATACTCAGCTGTACATTTCCACCCCAGGCCACCCCAACGTTGCCCTTGACGTGATGGCCCGTTGCCTGGAGGCCGTACGGGTCTAGATGGGGAGGAACAGACTCAGGCTCAACCCTTCCAAGACCGAGTGGCTGTGGCTGCCGGCGCCTCGGCATAGTCAGCTGACTCCATCGCTGACTATAGGGGGCAAAATTTTGGCCCCCTCAGAGAGGGCGCGCAACTTGGGAGTCCTCCTGGATTCACGGCTGACATTGGATGACCATTTGTCGGCCGTGACCAGGGGGGCGTTCTATCAGGTTCGCCTGATTCACCAGTTGCGACCTTTTCTGGACCGGGACGCCTTGCGCACAGTCACTCATGCTCTCGTCACCTCCCGCCTGGACTATTG